AAGAGATCTGGTTGTGTTTATTGCAAACGCTGTGTTTATTCCTCACCTGTGCAGACTGCAGGGACCTTGTCTGTCTCTGGAGCCACAGCTCTCCTCATGAGACAGTCTTAACCCTTTAGCACCTTCATGCCTTGTGAGCCTTCCTGAGGTTAGTGCAGCACTCAGGCCTCCCCATTTGAAAGTGAGGTGTGCATTTCATAGATCTGTAGAAAGCAGTGCCTTCACTGCCACAATGGTGCAGATCTGCTGCTCCTGGAATTGAGCCAGAACAAAAGTGACAGCCAAACGCTTTTTGGTATAACAGGCTGGGACTGAACATTGATGCCCTTCTCAGGGGGTCTCAGTAGGAAACACTCCTTAAGGCTACCTAAGTTTGACCATTCCTAAACCAAAAGCCAGGAGAGATCCTGTGAGAACTTTGAAATCATGGAGTAGTGAACCTGAATTGGTTATTGTGCTGCAGTGTCCCTTCTGGAAAGGGATCTGGCTGTGACCCTGCAGCAGCAGGAGACTCTACTTTGCCTTAGGTAAACTGTTCACTGCCCCATGTCTAGATGTGGGCAGCTCTGTCCAGCTCTGGAGATGGCTCCTGCCACCAGCTCTGCTCTTCAGGAGAGTGGAGGAGCCAAGCTCTGAGAATTTTGGCAGTGGTGTTACCTGTCTGTGCAATGAGGAAGGTCCTCTTCATCCGCTGCAGGTAGTTGTGCACTGGAGCTGAGAAGTTCACAGTGATGGTGAATGGCTGCCCCCGCCTCACAATCAGCCTTTCAGTGCTGATTTCTTCCGTGTGGTGGTTGTTGTTGTTCATGGGGATCTTGAAATCGCATTTTTTGACGCTCAGACCTGTAGTGTGAGAAGATACAGAATGAGTTTGGGGCTGTGAACTGCCTGCAGTCTGGCCCTGAGCCACATTCTGAGACACACAAACAGCTGATCAAGTGTTTTCTCCACTCAGACATTCCCTCCCTGCCTTTGAGACTTTCTGACCAGTAACTGTAGGAGCCTTCACCCTGAGCTTGGTTGTTCTGGTGTCAAGTGACTATTGAGCTGCCAATGCCTTTTTTGCTCTCATTTTCTTCAAGGTTCCTTGGAACCTGGACCCTCTCCCTGCTCCATGGCTAAAACACTTGCACATCTCTCTGCTTCAGTTTTATAGTCTGGTTCACCTCCCACCACTCCCTCTGTTGAGGATACCTCACTTGCCTTTGCTTCCAAACTCTCACCTCTCTGCCTTAACTGCTTCTTGCTGCTCCTCAAACTCCTCTTAGACTTTGCTACCAGCTTTTGTTTGCCTTTTTGTGCAGTTCCATGCAAATGGAACTCTCTTAGCCTTTAGAGCTCCCTTAGCCCTGTAAGCTCAGCTCTTCTACAAGCCTCACGAGCACCGTCTTGGAGCAAGAAGAGTTATTTTTTTCCTGTCACACAGCTTGCAAATGCTTGGAATTAACCAAAGTGATTTTTGCTTACCTTGGCCCATGGCTGGTTCCCCGTACCATGAAAGTCTCCAGCTCCTGCTCGCTCTGGGAGGCAGCGGCTCCTTCCCCCAGCTGTCTCCAAAAACTGCCCTCTTGCAAAGCTGTTTGCTTGATTCCTTTATGCAGGGTGGGACGTGGTGGTGCCACCTCTCCAGCTTTATCTTGTTGGTCTGGTGTGCAGATGTCAAGGACTCTTTTTATCTCCCAGGCCACGCTGAAGACACCCTAGAGATGAGGTCAAATTCTGCAGCGGGATGTGAAGCATTTAGAGACAGACAGGGACAATTCCTTCAGGAAGCTGAGCACTGGGAACCCCCGGGGTAGGAAGTGCAAATCTCATTATGGCTCTAAATAATGCACAAAATGCACTTCAAATGGAAGTGTTGGAGAGCTGCTCTACAACGCTGACCCCAAGCTCCTTAGATCCTAAACCCTTCAAGGAGTTAAAAAAAAGAATTAATTAGTCAGTACATCCATTGCTCCTGTGCCTAATTCAAAAAAGTGAAACCTCTTCAAGATGAGGAAAGGTGCCAAAGGCAGCTATTAAAAAAAGCAGAATTTTTGTAGCATAATGCAGACTATTTAAAAGTATTGCACTGCAGATTTGGGCTAAGTGCATTCTTGAAGTTGCTGTAATATTAAAGAGACACCACTGGATTGATAAATAATTGGTAAAAAAAAAGGAAATCAGATCTCAGAAATGAACATCTTTCCCTGGGGAGTGAGTCACCAATAGTTTTGCAGAAACCTATGATCTTCCACAAATTCAAGAGTAATTTGAGAGGCCAATCACACAATATTAGAGCAGAGAACTTGGTGTTTTTCTTAGTATTAGTCCATATTAGACTTTACAAGCACTTGCTTATATGCATCGTTTAAGCTAAACATAAAAACTCTCTGTGTTTTAGTCCTTTTACAGCACAGCCTTCATTATAGGGATTCACTTTCACAGAATGGCAGAGTGGCTGAGGTTGGAAGGGACCTCGGAGTTGTTCTTACATGCACCTTTGCAACGTAGGTGTTTATGAACCTCTAAATCAGAGTGGTTTAGATACAAGCAGGTACTTGTCCCATCAGCACTGCCTTGTGATGGCTGTGTATACCCACAGTACCATCTCTTGGTCAAACTGGCAACTGCAAGTAAGATTTTTGCATGGGATGCACTTTGTCATTATCTTTACAGTGCGTGGGGACTCTTGTTGTTTTACAGGTCCAAACATAAATCCATAAAAATCTTCATTGCCTTTATTACCTCTAAAAATAGAAGCTTAAACTGTTACATGAGCATCTCTCTCAATCTGTAAAACAGCAGTAATTTCATTGACTGCCTGAATCAAGGCTCTAAAACCTTAGAGCAGGAGAACAGGATGGTGGGGAGAAACGCTCACCCCCCTGGAGGCTGAGTCCAATGTCTTTCAAGATCAGTTTTTGGTAAGCATGTGTCATATCAGCCAGTGCTCCCTGGATTTTTTTTTGAGTGATCAGACTGGAATGAGGGCTGGCTGGGCCAGCCTCTTGGGCATGCTCACATTTGAACTGTGCATTTATGAAGAAAAATACTGACAATTAACCATATTTTACTCCACTGACTCCCAGTGACTTCTGACCCAGGGCTGTGTAAAGATTGTAGGCTTGACAAAAGCTATTTAAACCTTTCCTCGGGCACTTGCATGTTTTTCTCTGTAATAATCATTAGTTTAATTGAACAGTTGTCTTATCCTCATGCAGGAAGAATGTGTTTCTCATGCGTGGCAGTGGCCAGATCTGCATTTTCACACTCAAACTGAGCTGGGTGTGGTTGCTGAGGGCAGATGAAAACGCTGACACTGTGAAAACCCAACGAGTGTTGCAAAGCTTGGAACTTGGCACGGGCCTTACAGCTGATTTCCCTTTGAACAGCAGGCTTCCTTTGCAGATAATTAGTATGAGGTCATTCCAAGCTCTCGTGACAAATACTGCCTGAAATAATTGCCTGGATTGTGTTTAAGAAGGAATACTGAAGGAATTGGAATGGCTTGGCTGCATTGTGCATTAAAAGTAATGACAGTCTGCATTCTTGCAAGATTTAATGAGATTTTGTGAAATACCATCACTACCTCAAGGCCTTCTCTGAGGCTGGTAGAGGATCCTATACCCTGAATTTCCAAGATCGTGCAAGACTTAATTGATAGGTGCAAAGCTACCTATTCCCCTCTTCTTTGCCTGGAGAAATCTGAATTCCTGTATGTGTGTGTGTGTCCTTTTCAACCTTCATTCCAGTCTCTCTGGGCTGACTAGTTTTTAACCAGCTTCCACGTCCCCTCTGAGTATATGTGTGGGTGGCAAAACAGTGTCATTGATGTAATAAAATAGGAGTTTACATGTTTTGAATATTTTGTTGGCCTTGAATCAAAGAAGTTGAAATGAGACCTCAGCCTGTGTCACAGGGTCAGTTTGTGTGCATGGAACATTCTTTCTGGGGCTGCATTGCTGTACTTGGTGTCAAGTGGAAGAAGTCAAATTGTCTCTTAGAGGAACGTTCAGATCTTTGCTGTTTTGGCTTGTTAACTTTGCAAGGAGTGAATGGACACATTTAGGGGTTTAGATATGGGTGGCTCAGAGTGTTCCTCATGAATGATGATCTGCTCTAAGCAGCTTTGCAGAATGAGGATATGGGATTGTTAAATGTGAATTTTCATACGTCCCTCTCATTGTATTGTCCTGCACCTTTTCTTCCCAGCCTGAGCACTTCTGATAGTGAAGAATATCTGCCTTTGCAAACAGAGAAATCTTTTCTTGTCTGTTTTGTCATACCTGTAGGAAAGGAAACAGGTGGAACTCCCTGTGACATAATTTAGGAGGGTAGATACAATGGTTTTGTAAGAGACAGGGAAAGGGCTGTAGTGAGTGGCAGCAGCCACTGGCAAATAACAACCTTGAAGGTGGTTCCAGTACAGAACAAAAATATTTGTCATAGGGTTCTTTTCAAGTGGTCTTGTGGACAAGCTTGGCCAATTTTCCTGATAGTAAAGTGAGAAGTTTCTGACCTGGAATAAACTAAAACACTCCACCTGGGATAGTGGAAGGTGTCCCTGCCCATGGCAGGGGTTTGGAACGAGATGAGCTATAAGGTCCCTTCCAGCTCAACCCATTCTGTGATTCTGTGATGATTAAATTACATTCCACGGAGCTTATGAAACCAGTGATTTTAAATTATGTTCCTTGGAAATCCAGCTGCTATTATTGCTACAGGCTCTAATGCTGAAAACCATCACACTTGATCCCCTGCTTCAATTTAAATTATATAATAATTTCCACTGGTAATTGTACGTGTGAAGGTCCATAAAACAGGTTAGGGATTGACAAAGGTGACGCTGTCTTTTCAGCACAGTGCGTGTGGTACCTTTTTATTAGTTCCCTCTCACATTACATAGTTTTTTTTGCTTTGGCTGAGCAATCTGCATTTCTGTGCTCCCAGTCATAATAATGGATGGACAGAGCTCCAGCCCCATAAACAGGCACAGCTGAACTGATGCACAGGTTGTATCACTGAGCAGGAGCCACGTCAAGCGTCACAAATCCCTTAATGTCTGAAAAATGGATGCAAACCAAGTCCACCTGAAGCTGCCTGGCGCCACTCCTGTAGGGAATGATTTCAAACCGGACTGTTGAAGTCTCCATGGGGGCCATTCTTGCCACACTGAAAGAGAGAAGGCATCTGTAAGGTCAAGCAGCTGAAAATTTCTTGCCTGTGCGTTCTTCAGATCCCCAAATCTAAGACAGTGTGACATCACTCCCTGAGCATCCTGTAATTCAAAGCTTGGTGAAAGAGGTGTAAAAAACTCCAGCTGGTATATGGAGAGTACTGGCATGATGGTGTTTTGTACAAGGCTGGCGCAAACAAAAGTCATGAGCTTGACAGAACACTTTTTAAAACCCAGATTTCCCGCCCAGAGCGAATGAGTTTTCAGCCAGCAGCATTTACATACTTGATTCTGAGCTGCTCTCTGAGCAGGCCACTACCTTCAGCCCTCAGCACACAGTCTGTCACCTCTTCAGACAGTGGGTTGGTAAATGTGACCTCCACATCAACAGCCTGGTGTACCACTGCTGGACCAAGCACCTGCAGAGAGGAAACATCTTGCTCAGCCACAGCATTATTCTCACCTATTTCTCGTGCTTTTCTCTTTTCCTCCCCATTTCAAGCCATTTGCCCTCTTAGGATTTACAGTGTGTGGCACTTGTCAGTGAGAACAGACTGAGAATACAGGTATTAACTTGGCAGATATGGCTAACTACTGGAGGCAGCTTATGTTTAATTAGCTTTAGTTAGGCTAAATGAAGGTGTGAATTGTGGTGTCTCAGGCAAAAAAAAAAAAAAAAGGCAAATTAGCAAGTAAATATATTCATTACCTTATTTTGACTGAGATAAAGTGGAAGTGTCATATCTGGTTGTCTTTGTAGATAATGTAATATTAGTTAACATAATGGAGAGGTCCTTTACCCCAATTGCATTTCTCTATTACTGTCTGTATGTTTATAGAGGAGTTTCAACCAGCAGAAGCAGAAACACTTCTCAAAACTTAGTCACTGAATTGAAGTCATTTAGTCCTGGTGCCTGCCTACAGCAGCTGACCCTGTTACGTGCGTGGGTCAGCACAGAGACTTAGTACAAAATCTGACTAGAACCTGGTATTCAGCAATGGCCAGACCTACAAAAATCCACACATTTTGCTCCTGTGTGTTGCCCTGCTTTTCTTGTTCAGTCCTGCCGTAGTGGTCTGGGGTGGCTGATGGAGTCTGCAGGCTCTGGAGGACTCTGTAAATTACCATATTCCCCCTGTGCTGTTTACAGCAGGATGGGCAGACAGCATTTGATCCCGTGTGTGATACAGCACATGAGTGTGCTGTCCAAAACCAGTTAAACTTGTTCATGTGGACATGATGGGCCATGCAAATCCAGGACTCTCCCAAGTGCAAGGTGTTTCCTGCAGACTAAGAACTGCTTTTTATCCACTGTACAACATTTGTGTGATAGTCTTAAGTGGAAAGAAAAAAAAGCCTCTAGTTCTCTTTAATCATTTGGGAAGATGTTGCAGAAGGTGGAAAGTGATTCTTTTCCTGATTCAGTGAAAGAACCTCCTTGAATATTAGTAATAAAAAAGCCTCACATCCCCAGGCATTATCAGCTGGTCAGTGAGGATGCCTTTGGTAAAAATCAGCCTTCCTAAATAAACTGGAAGAGATTGATCAGACTCCCTTAGCAAAAGTGGAGGACTAAATACAGCCCAGATTTCTCTGTCCCCCTCTGTGCTGTCTCTCTGTGGATAAGCTTGCCTTGTAACTCTCGTAACAGAGACCTTTATCAGTGGTTTAACAAGCACTGGCAGGAATACCACAGCTATGCCATGGAAAGGTTTGCTTTTCCTTAGTGCATTATTTCATTTCACTTGTGTCACATGGCCTATTACCAGAGCAACAAGATCCAGTCATCCTCAGGCAGGATTTCACTTCCCACACTCCTTCCCACGAGGAGGAGTAGGAATTCTAGTTGCTTTTCCTCAGCATGTCTCCCAAGGGTCACAGGGGGGACTTGTTTTTACCTTGATGGTGAGAAAAGGATCCTGAAGTACAATATCCTTCTCAACCAGGAGCGAGGCTCCCTTTTTGATTTGGCACACAGCAGTCACCAGGATCTTCCTGTCATCCATCAGGGAGTTTTTGTATTGGGAATAGGGGATCCCGAAGGAAAACTCTTTCACTGGAATGGAAATGGAAACAAAATTTCCCTCTATTCTTACTTTTAAGTGCCTGCTGTCTGTGAGATCCCTGTATTTTAAGGAGCATGTACACTGTCCCCCTGGGGCTGCACATTTGTGGTGTTGACACCCACGGACGGGAATGATGCTCAGAAGTGCCTTCTCCTGACATTCACACAAACCACTGAATGATCAGGGACAGTTTGGTAGCTGGACAGATGTGAGGGTGGGTATATGTGGATGGCTGCCTAGTGTCCAGTGCATGTCTCTTAGTTGTTCTCTCTTAGCAAAAAAGGTCATAAAGTAGCACTGACAGTAGCTCTGCTTGGTCAGACAAAAGGTCACCTTGCCCAGTATCTTTTCTGACAGTGCCCAGAAACAAATGCTTAAGACAGGGAAATATGGATGTTTCTCTTCCCCTGAATAGCCTTGAACCTCCAGCTGATTGCAGGTCATACACTCCTTGAGCCATTCTTTATTTCCTTTGTGATTTGACCACAAGCCAAAACTGGGTCTTGTCCTGTAATAAAAGCTGTAATAAAATTAAAATTACCTTCTTCAGATCCGAGTTTAATAGACCTACACAGCTCTAAAATCTCTGCCTTTGGTCTTCTTGTGTAGAGAATGGCTGAAGCCTTCAATTTAACTTTTATGGTCTTGAAATCTGAGATCAAGTTTCTGAGTGACAAGGTAAGGAGGATGTCCTGGCCAATGACAGGAGATGCATCGAGGATCAGCTTCCCTGAGATGCTGGGGGTTTGTGCAGGCTGTGCCCTTGAAAATCGTCTTCTAGGTTTTCTAATTTTGGGTTTTTTCCCAGTTCTTCTCACACCAAGCAGCTTCAGTGCTTTTTTGTACACCTGCCTTTCTTTTGAGGATCCTGCTTGGAAAGATAACGTGGTCAGAGAGCCTGTGTGTACTGGATACAGTGCAGGGGAGCCAGGACTGATCTCAGAAATTTAGGAAGGCTGAGAAGGGCAAAGATACTCAAGAGGAGAAAGTGAGATCTAATACAGCTACTTTGCTCTAGAAGGAGTAAAGAAATTAAGTCAGTGCTCAGTCCCACAGAGGCCTAAATTCTTTTCACTTCTGATCACCAGTGACAAGACAACTCCAATAAAGAATTTACCTTCTGGATATTTGTAATTAGCAGTGACATCCACACGGGAGTTGGTGCCCACTGCTTTGGTGCTGATACACTTCCCAATCTTCCTGGTGTTGGAGTAAATCCTCTCTTTCCTTTTCTTGCTGTAGCGAATCCAAGTTACACAGTCAGCATTCACTGCTGCAAACACAAATGGGCTGTCATAGTCCAGGTTCACATCCCCTTCTTTAATGGCTCTGATGGAGGCAGGACCACACTGATAGATGCCTGTATTGGAGAGGGAGAAGTTAAACAACTGCCTCTTGCAAAGGCTGTGTGGTGTGAAGAGCTGAGCCAAGCCAGGGCAGGATAAGTGAACTAAAGATGTGCTGCCTTTTGTGGAGGCAGAGAACCAAAATGAAAAAAAAAAAAAAGGAAGAATTGACATGCTGGTAAGCAACCCAGAGGCTGACAGAAAAGCTGCCTACTGGAGATTGATGTGGATATTGCTTTTCTTGTGCACCAAAATTAATGCTATATCTACAGGGAATATATAGAAGAGAGTTGTCCTGAGATTTCAGTGGCAATCTTTTGGAATAACACTATCTGTGGGGGTTTTTTTTATGCTTACAACAGTCTTACCTTTGCTTTTTTCCTGGGGTGTTGCATCCAGAACCTGCCATCCATCATAAAAAGAACCAAGATCTCTTCTTGCGAACCAGCTTTCATTCCAGACATGGAAGTTCCTGTATAGGGGAGACAGAAAATAGAATACCTGATGAATACAATGCAAAAAATAATCCTGAGTGAATGAAAACTGTGGGAGAGCAGCTGCTGGCTCCTTCCATGAGTACCTCTTTCCCCTTTTGTGCCATACTTTTATGTTCAGATCTCTGAGAAATGTTGGGACGTTATGAAAAAGAAATGTTATTGAAAATAATTCATCACAGAGTCCAGAATTCAAATCTGGACACTGCAGAACAAACAACCAAAGGTCTCCTGTGCACTTTGCTATCTGTTGGTATTTAACTCACAGTTTCTTTCTACTTCATGTCACCATTCAGTCCAGGTGGTGTGTTGTGTTGGTGACTGAGGCACTGGTGCTGCAGTACAACCCACCTGTGCAGTGTGAGAATTTCTGTGCACTTGTTTGTCAAAAGAACAATTTTTAACAGCTCCTCTGAGGTGAAACAGCATTTCCTTTGTTAACTCTTCAAAATCATGAGGTTGACTGCTTACTGAATTTCTGAACACTCTGTGGATTCTTTGGTGGGGGGTTTTAGAGCACTGGCAGTGTGAGGTTGGAGTAGCTTTCCAGGAGCATGATTCTTTTAATTAGTGGGGAATGTAATGGAAGAAATAATTAAAAAATATGTATATTTACCACACACTGTCTTCAGTCAAGTGCAGGGTCTTTCCAGACATGTCAATGTACTTATCAATAGTCAGATTTATATTGCTGTCATGGGCAGAGTTGAAGTTGGTAATAACACGGGTAGGTATTCCCAAGCATCTCAGCACTGCAATACAGAATATGATAAAAGCTCTGTGAACCTATTTTACACACATTTAGAAAGTATTTTTCTGTTTTTTTTTTCTTGGCAAAACAGTCTATTGTATGTTTTCAGTGGGGAAACAAACCCCCAGGAATTTTCCTCCAGATATGATACAATTCATTGTGCACAATTGCTTAGAAGATATTTCCACTCTCATGACATTCTTAGCTGCCATGTCCTTTTAACAAGAGTTAGATTCACCCATTTATTTTAATCTTTGATTCTCCCCCCTGTTCTCTCCCCCATTTTCCCTCTATTTGTTCCTCTGTTGTTTGCTTCTTTTTCCTCTTACTTTCTGAGATATATCTTTCAATTGCATTATTTTTCCTCTGTCCTTTCCCCAAAGAAGCTCTTGTGTCTCAGAGCAGCTCTGAGTGGAAAGTGCTAGTAAGAAATGCTTTTCCTGACTTGCAGCTCCTTTTACAGGTCCTTAGAATTGTGACTTGGTTTTGTGTCAGCAGTAGGTAAGACACAGCAGTAGAAAATGGGATTATGAGGAGATGGGCTTAAAAGATCACTGATATTCTTTGAATCCTGGCTGTGAGACAGGAAACCTTGCTCTTTTCACCTGGCAAACCACTTTGATTTTTGTTTGGGGTGCAGGATTGCAACCTGTGGCTGTTTAAAACAGACCCTTCACACGTGGGGAGCCAGAGGTGCTCCACTTTCTCTGCCAGAGCTGAAACGACTTCAACGATACTGCCAGAAAGTTCAAACTGCAGCAATTCTAGTGAGCTTCCTTCCTGACATCGTCCTGGTCTCCTCCTTCATCCCTCCATACCTGTGCAGGTGACTCCTGCAAAGACCCAGCACTGGCCGTAGCGGACAGGTCTGTACCTGCCCCTGTACCACTTGCGAAGGATGGTCACGCTGCCGCTCCACTGCAGGGGGTTTGTTCCCGAGCGGTACTTCCCGGTCCACTTCCCTTCCACCACTCCCTTCTCGTCATTGCTGTTGACCTGAAAGAGTCCTTCTCGTGAGAATTCTCTTCTCGTGAGAGAATTCAGATATTTACAGAAGAAGGGAGGGAGGGAAACGGGCAGAAGTTGAGCCTGTGGGTGCCACTGTTCTCACTGAGTGGGTGGTGGGACCCAGCATTTGAATCTTAGGATTTTTACCTGCTCAAGTGCAATGATTGGACCAAACCCAGATCAGATTGTAGAGTCTGGTGAATCAAACCTGCCTTGTTTTCAGTGCAACTGTTCCCAAATGTACTGGCTGATGGCCTGTTTACATTTTTGCTGTTCCTTCAGTTATGAGCAAACTCTTGGGAAGAAGGTAAATTAAGCTTTTGGGGTATTTTACCTCCTTTGTAGCCATTTTGTTGCAGAAGAGTTATCTACACCCATAAAACATTGAGGCATTCACACTCAGGCATAGGGGTTTTGTTAGAAGGCACATGTACAGCTGTAAGTGATGCAACTTTACCATAGCACTGATCACCCTGCTCACATAGACAGGGTTGTTCCTGTTGGATACATCAACAGCCGGATCTTCTCGGTGCTTCAGGCTCCGATCCAGTATAGCCAGAGAGATATCAAGGATATCCTCTTCGAACTGAAATCAAAACAAGGCTAATTTCATAAGCAAACCCTGGGATAAACTCCCCACCTATTTTCCTTCTCCTAGCACAACAGGATAATGTTGTTAATAGAGGTATTTTCTGTACTGTTAAAGAAAATAGGGCCAAGAAGGAAACACGAGCACTAGGCTGCTGGCTCTCCACAGGATTTTCAAGACAAGATGTCTGTGAGAGTGGTGTGGTGAATGCCACTGGCATTCACGAGGACATTACGTGTCCTGGTGGAACACACAGGACCACTGCAGGTGGGGCTCAGCAGGATTCCCACCCTGCCACATCCTGCCACGCAGGAACCCTTCTGTTACGAAAGCTCCGCTCTCGTGGGCTGCCTGCACCTCGTATCAGCAGATCAGCTGAGCTGAAAGAAAGCCCACAGACATAATCACTGTGGATTAGGGTCACAGAGATGCTGCTCTGGGCCCAGAGAGTGCCCTGTTGATGTGGCCAGGCAAGGGTGTGGGCCACTGCTGGTGCAGTTGGCATGAGGTGGATGTGAGGAGTGGTTTTGGCTGGCCCAGCGAGCTGCAGGATGGCTGTGGGGCTGCAGGGGGGCTGCAGGATGGCTGTGTGGCTGCAGGATGGCTGTGTGACTGCAGGATGGCTGTGGGGCTGCAGGATGGCTGTGGGACTGCAGGGGGGCTGCAGGATGGCTGTGTGGCTGCAGAGGGGCTGCAGTTCTGGCTCTGTTTGCAGCAGTTGTGCTGGGAGGGCCAACCCCCTTTTCAAAAATTCCAGTTTGAGTGTTTCAGTTGAGTAGATTTGGGATATCCTTTCAGTGGCGTCTGCCCCGTTGCTGAGCGTGTAAATATTTATGTAAATATTTGCTGTGTATTAACTATGTAAATAATTACTATTGTAATATCTCGCTACGTATATTTACTATGTAAATATTTAGATGTACTGGCTTTGCAATGCCTGGTGGCTTTCTTTGCCCTTTACAAGGGTCAAAAAATGAAGTACAATTTCACCATTTTGCATAATGGGCAAAAGAAAAAATAAAATTGTGCTTTGTTTCTTTTATTTCTGTCTTAGCACATGCCAGACAGCAGAAATGATCCTGATGCTGCTGTACATCTGTAAGAAAATTTTTCTGTAAGAAAATCTGAAGTGAAGAATACTCAGCAAGGAATACTGAGCTCTTACACTCTGAGATAATGATTCTCTCTCCTGAAAAGCCTGTTTACCCACTGTTCCTATTTTGAAAGTTCTGGAAGAGGTGATGCTGTTTACCTGTCCATAGTTCCAAGCTTCTTGCTGAATGTCTTTTTCCAGTCCCTGAAATATGATTCCACTGTCATTCAGGACATACTCCTGTCTCTCCTTCTCATTAGCCATGTAGACATCATCATCTAAGAGCAGAATGAGACATGATGGCCGAAAGGAAATTACTTGGAGGGTCTCACACAGAGGGGAGATCCAGGGAGCAGGTCAGGCTGCCCCTGGGTTCAGGTTTAGGACTCCCTGCTACACCTCTCTAATCGTTTAGAGAGTGAATAAAATCAGCATGAAGTTCCTTTGAGGGGAAACTTCACTAATCTCACTGTGTGTCTTACTGGTAGATGTTGCTTGGTTTACAACTGAATGCCAGAATCAGAGGGAAAAAAATTCCAGAATAAATATTTGGAGTATTTCCTGCCTCTGATCTTTTATCCTACAAGCAAAAGTCTGGGGTCTTTGAAGAAGGAGCAAAACTCGATCCTTGATATTGAGCAAAAAACCCCAACTTTCTGTAGCTGTGACTGTCAGGTAGAGACACCCAGAATTCCTGACTGAGACAATGAGATATTTGAAGGATGGGATACATCAAAGCCTACCTGGACACCAAGGGTTGAAGAGTAGCACAAACTGGCCCAGGACTTTTGAAAAGACCTTGCTTCCAGAAAGGATCTGGAGTCTGAGTTTGTATCGCCCGATGACGGCGCTGGCTGGGCTGAGGATGGTGAAGTTCACCCAGCCAGGCTCACTGGGCTCTTGGGCTGCACTCCAGCCACTGGCACCCTCCTCTGAAAGGGTGAAGATGGCCTTGGTCTGCTGGGATTCTGCTGGGGATGGTCCTGCCAGAGAGAACAGGGACAGCAATTCTGAATGGCAGCCGTGAGTGACAAACCTGGGGTCAGGGAAACCCACACTGAAAGGCTGTGGGTTGTCAGATTAAGTGTTTATTCGATATAAACTCACTCCATAGGTGAGCACACCCCTAATTATTCTAGGTAAGTCTGTTGTCCTGAAAACTTGACAGTTCGAAAATATGTAAGCAGGGTGAGCCACACATTTTAATACACAGGTCAGGAAGAGTTAGTAGCTGCCTGGGGGATTTTTTAGGGAAGATGCAGGTGGGAGTTCTTATGAATTAGTTCATGTAGGCTGTTCTAGTAATAGGGAACACATGAAGTTAATCGAGGGGATTTTAAAAGAGGTGAAGGAAGGGAGGAGAGAAGATGAATTGAGGATGGTGCCTTGTGAGAGGAAGGGCTGCAATATGTTCAGGGACCAGAATGAAGATAAATTGCAGTGTTCCAGGTAGGTCCTTAGGAGCAGAGATACAGGCTTGGTTTTAGGATGAGAATGGTACCCACCTTCCTATTAATTATTACCTTTGTTCTCTGTGTTTCCTTAAGCTGCAGATCAAACTTTAAAATGGGAACTCCTAAACCTAAAAGGACAGTGAATCCTAAAGGAAACAGGACACAACTTGATGATTCAGGAATGGGCCACATGGATCTGTATTTTGGACACCTGCATTTTGGAGCTGGAACAACTCGGATATGAGGTGAGTGCCATGGGGAAATTACCTGTGCTTGCAATGAAGGTGAAGTTGTCCCAAGACTGCACTGTTGTTTTGATGTTCAGAGAGATGTGGAAAGGCTGCCCTCTCCTGAAGATTGCTTCTGTGCTGCTGTAATCAGAGGTGTGGTGGGCAGCTTTATTTAGTTTGGATTGCCAATTGACTTTTGTTATTTTCAGGGCTAGAAAGACACAAGATGTGTTCATTAAAAAAGGTTTTCCTTCAGGCTTGTGCACCTCTTCATCATGTCTACTGTAGTAGTTTTATTTTACTTATATATAGCTGGTGTTATGTGCTCTAGGAGAAAGAAAAATCCATTATTATTAAAAATTGCAAAAAAGCCAGTCTAGAAGAACAGTTAAAGCATCTTTTCTGCAGGCAACTTTCTGAAAGAGAAAAAACACCCATTCAGATAATTAATCTTTAATTAAAAAAAAAAAATCAAAACCTGCTCTGTTTAGATAAGACTTTGCTAAAGTTTGAAGAGTCTGTTCTGTTCCCCACGTTCCTGCTCTTGTGAGATCCTGTGGGGACCTCTAGTTCACAGAAAGCTTTACAGATGTACAGAGAGAAGTATCAAAACTCTCATGAGCGGGTGCAAGCCTGACTGTGGAAGCACTGCCTGACAGATGATGACTAGAAGGTTGGTATCTTCATTGAGGAGCTTGTACATTATCTTCTCGTGTATCTTGTATCTCAGTTAATTTGCAGTCCTGTTGCCTGAAGCTGGGTGTTATTTCACACTCTGTTGGGAAAAGATAACCAGCAGAGGACAGATGGTAGCACTAGGAGTGGCATATCTTGAGGCAGTGCTGTTGTATCATGATAGGTTGTCACTGTTGAAAATGGGGCACTGAAGCACAGATTACAAAAGCTTTCAAACTCTCTCGTTCCTCGGGGAATTAAAAAAATGACGGCAACAAACGAAAAAAAAAAGCAGAAAAAACACAGATCCCTCCATGAAAATATGTGTAAAGTGGCCTTTCCCAGTGTATTTCAGAGGAGTTTCACTTGAGGCTGTGACTCAAGCACGTTAACCCTTTGCAGACTGATGGTGCTGTGAGCAACACTCCCATCCTTTCACTGAACCAGGACACAGGACTTGCTTCAGCACCACTTTGAATCCCTTGGAAAGTGGCTCATATCCAAGGGAATCCATAGGGATGGAGAGGGTGAGATCTGAGTTTTCTGCTGTGTTTGCAGCAGAGAGTTATATTCTGTGAAGTCCTCATAAAGCCATAACTGTCCTCATTCCTCAGCTCTTTGGAAGAAATGTGAATGTGCATTTCTGAGGCTGCAGTGAGGGTGGCTTTACCTTAGTCTGTAAGGCTGAGCATGTTCAAACACTTTCAGCTGAGGGGTCTTGCTTCAGGTGTGTCACCTGGAGACAAAAATTCCCCTGGCAGGAGCGTTGTGTTTGCGCCACGTGACGTGAAATGTCTAGAAAGCGTCTCACTTGCGTCATCGCTTCGTTTTCCTGACTTAAACATGTCTAATTGAAAGGGACCCACAGAAAGCATCACCCTGAACACCAAGTCCTCTAATTTAAGAGTGACTTGAAACGTGTTTCTGCAGGGCCTCAGGGTTTGAAAAGAAGTTATTTAGTCCTGCTGCACCTCCCCCCTGTGTGTCCTGAGCTGTGCAGGTTCAGTGTTCAGGCTCTGCAGGGCAGGGGGCATGGAGAGGCTTTCACAGGGATGTCACAGGCAAAGGAGTGTCCAACAGAGTCAGAGGGGATGTGTGGAGAAGTTGGAAAGATGAAGAAGGCAGTGGCTAGCAGTGCTTTGCTCTAAGAATTTCCTGCATTAATGGTTTGATTTGCCTTGCAAAGTCCGTGCTTGTACAGGCATTTCCAGGGAATATGTGCAAGACATCAGCAAAAAATCAGTTTGTATATGGGGTAAGAGCACAGTAAAGCCTGATACCAGTTCTTTGTCCATATGGACTCAAATTTATCCTTGTTTTGATCTTCACAGTGTTAGTTTAAATCTTATAATTTCTTTTTCTTCTTTAAGTGTCTGTTAGAAAAACATATTTTCCATAATTCCGTCAGGGTACAAACTTCTAAAAATTTCTTTTGGTGTCTGTCCTGTAAGGGACAGACGCTGGGAGCAAACTCAGAAGCAAAAGCCTGCAGAATTGGTGATCACTGCTGATCATGTGCACAGGGCTCTCTTTGCCTTTGACTGAAAGCTGAAGCTGAACCAGAAAAACATCTTTAGGCTAAACTGTGGATAAACTCTGTATGTATTGCATGGCACATCTGTCTAACTGGAGATTTTTCCACTCATGAGGAGAGTGAGAGTCAGTGCAACAGCACACAGACAAGCTGCCATGGCCCCTCTGTAGGGAGGGGAATGGGGGAGTCCAGAGGTCCATCAAGTGACCTGTTTGAGGCCAGACATCATTTGATATCAGAGCCTGGGACTTCCATGGGGCAGGTGGATGCCCCAGTCACTAACCAACAGTGTTGATTAGATGGCTGCAGAAGCACTGAATAGTTAATTGATATGATAGAAAAAACATTTTCTTAATCTACTTTTCTGTGTTACAGGTAAAAAGAATATGTTCAAGACCCACGATATTAAAAAAGAAAAGAAAAAATAAAATCAGTTCTAGTAGAGTAACCCATAAATACATTAAACCCAAAAAGAACTAAGCTGCTGAGGGAACAGCTAGATGTAACTCATCTTGTTTCCTCGGCAAATGTCACTCATCTGGGTAGGAAGGGTGATGTCTGGAGCCATCAGTATGAACTTACCCGCCATGAGGTTTCCTTCTTCTTTTCCTTTGTGTGCAGTTCAGGTTATGGATACAAAAGTGTGCCAGAACATCCTAAATCTTCTTCCACCAGCACCAGTAATGAAAGGCTCAGGACTGGACTTTGGCTACCCAGGCTGGAGTTTATACAAGCTGGGTGTGACCTGTGGTTGGTAGTTAGTGTTTTTGTAGTGATATCCTACGTGAGCATCCACTGATGACTGCTCTAATTGCACAATCTTGAATCCAATTATGCTTATTTAAAAGTGGTGAATGACTGAGGAAAGATGATAATTGGTATTCTGGTGTCTTAGAGAGGAGAACATCCCAAATTGGATCTAACGAAGGAAATATAATCGTAGACACAAGAATTTTGGATGGTTTGGTTTGTGCCAGTTTAGGTTTTTGGAGGATGTATGTACAGAGGGTAAGTACAGACAAATGTAGCTGTTGTACAGCTTTGTTGTTGGGACATGGAGCGATCAAAGTAGATCTGTAGTAATTAGTGTTACTGTCACTCAGTACTTCGGGGGGTTTTTCACTCTGTTTTTACTTTAAGACAGGTCTGCCTGAAGATCTTTCACATAACTGCATGTAATTCATTCTTTCTTGCAATAGACTTGTGCATTCTTACTATCTGTTCCTGACATGATTACCCATAATCTGCATTTCTTCTGTGTGAAGCAACACGTCCCACAGAGAGGGCATTGCCACGCAGTCAGCTGTGATCAGAGACTTTTGTTAAATAAAGAGAAGTGCTTAAATGGCTGCCTCTCCTTCTAATAATAATTTTTCTTTATGCTTTGGGGTTCATAATGCGTGCACAAAGTCTCTCTCTAGCTGTTTGGCACGGCATTGTGAGTCGGGCCCTGGAGGAAGCTGCAGAGCTGCTCTTCTGGTGTCAGCCCTGCCCACTCTTAATTACAGGCGCTCTCAGCTCCTGCGGCTCCCTCGAGTTCCCTCCTCCCTCATCCTGTGCCACAGTTAATCTACAAACATGCCCTGCTAATTTGTCCCCAGAGTTGCTTAAATGCTGTTCTGAGCCTTGTGATGAGGAGTAAGGGGTGTCAGGGGAGGAGGGATGATCTGTGGTTTTCCTCACCTTTACGCTTCTGCACTTTTTTTTTGTTCTCTTTTGTTTCCACGTTCATATCAAGATTGCCAGGAACCAAAAACGCAAATTAATTGCCTGAAGTTTAAGTGTATTTTTTAAAAAAGGAATCCAGAGTTTTGTTATATCTGGATGCCTCAGGCTCTCTGAAATACTATCAGAAAAAGAGATGTTCATATCCATAACTGACAGCTCTGTGGTTCAGAATTCTGGCCTCATTAATTCAGCTTTAATTTAAAGCAAGTTGTCCAGCAAATGTAAATCTTGAGGCTTGGCAGAGGTGTTTGCACACCCTGATGGCCCCACACCCTGGAGTGTGACCTGGAGGCTCCTGTGCCTGGTCAGTCATTACCTGTCTCAGCAGAGGCTGGAACAGGGAATCCTTAAATCCACCTGAAAGTGTGTCTCAGTGAGACCTGGCACCTGGAAATGCTGGGATTGGGAACCCACAGAAGAGACATCTGTCTGCAAACACTGATGGGGTGGAGCTGGGGCTGCCCGTGGATGAGCCACGTGGGGAAGGTGTGAAGACAAAGCCTTTGTCTCCAGTGACTTTACACTGGTGGGCAAAAAGTGTTGGTTACCTTGTGCTTCTTGTAATAAGTCCATGGAATGTAAAATTCATTATAAAACAGCATGGTGATGAATGATTTTCATTTATTGCTGACAATTAGAATGAGGTCAAAAAGAGACTGTATTATTTGCCTGATGGAAAAGTCAACACTGGGAGCTGAACAGAATGAGATTTGATAAAACAGCAAAACTATTTCTACAAAGAATTCGAGAGGGGGGGAAAAAGAAGTAAAATTGGAGACTAAATTAAGCACTGTGAAAGTAGGAGACTTGATTCTATTGCAATGGAAGAGGTCAACAATTTTCGTGGAAAGTTCCTTTCTGTCTTCACTTTTCCTATCCAGGGGAGGATGTCTTGTCATGTTACTGCTGAAACAGGAGTTTGATTCCATCACGTTATGAAGGTGCTACTGCAATGGTTACAAATCCCTTAACGTGTGAAAATTTGTCACAAGAGAAGTCTACTTGCAGCTGTAAGGGCCCACTCCTCCGAGGTGTGAATTCAAAGTAAATCTTTGATCTCTCCCTTGGTGCCAGTCGTGCCAGACTGAAAAAAAAGAAAAGAATCAATTAATTAAGATTTACATTGTCTGTTATGAGATTCCCAAGAAACAGGACTGGACGAGAGCGAGGGACTCAACAGCTACTTCAGCCCCAGCCTTGGGTTTTGAGAATTACTTAAGGTTTGAGGCTTTGTGTAGACTAAGAAATGAGAAAGGGCAGTGCCATCTTCATTTACTCTTGAATAGACTCATGGAAATG